CGGCCCACAACGTCCCTAGTTGAGGTCAGCAGCACACCATCCCCACTATAAACAGTGTTGGTGCTGCACCGCTTCCCCCTCCTGAGACGCCGGATGGTGGCCCAGAATCGCCTCCAAGCCGTGCGGAAGGCTTTCTCCATGGCCTCTCCGAACTCCTCCCACGCCCGGGTTTTTGCCTCAGCGACCACCCGAGCAGTATGCCGCTTCGCCCGCCGGTACCCATCAGCTGCTTCTGGAGTCCCACAGGCCAAAAAGGTCCGATAGGACTCCTTCTTCAGCTTGACAGCATCCCTCACCGAAGGTGTCCACCAACGGGTTCGAGGGTTGCCGCCGCGACAGGCACCAGCAACCTTGCGGCCGCAGCTCCGATAAGCCGCCTCGGCAATGGAGGCACGGAACATGGTCCATTCAGACTCAATGTCCCCCACCTCCCCCGGAACGTGTTCGAAGTTCTGCCGGAGATGGGAGTTGAAGCTCCGTCTCACAGGGGACTCCGCCAGACGTTCCCAACAGTCCCTCACTACACGTTTGGGCCTGCCAGGTCTGACCGGCTTCCTCCCCCACCACCGGAGCCAACTCACACCAGGTAGTGGTCAGTGGACAGCTCCGCACCTCTCTTCACCTGAGTGTCCAAGACATTCGGCCACAGATCCTATGAAACGATGACAAAATCGATCATCGAACTGCGGCCTAGGGTGTCCTGGTGCCAAGTGCACATATGGACACCCTTATGCCTGAACATGGTGTTTGTGATGGACAATCCGTGACGAGCACAGAAGTCCAACAGCAGAACACCACTCGAGTTCAGATCGGGGGGGCCGTTCCTCCCAACCACGCCCCTCCAGGTCTCACTGTCATTGCCCACGTGAGCGTTGAAGTCCCCCAGCAAGAATAAGGGAGTCCCCAGGAGGAGCACTCTCCAGCACCCCCTCTAAGGATTCCAAGAAGGGTTGGTAATCTGAACTGCTGTTTGGCCCGTAAGCACAGACAACAGTCAGGCTACCCTCTTGTTCACCGGGGTAAACCCCAACATGCAGGCGCCAAGATGGGGGGCAACAAGTATGCCCACTCCTGCCCGGCGCCTCTCACCGTGGGAGACTCCAGAGTGGAAGTACGTCCAGCCCCTCTCAAGGAGACTGGTTCCAGAACCAGAGCCATGTGTTGAGGTGAGGCCGACTATTTCTAGCCGGAACCTCTGAGCCTCGCACACCAGCTCCGGCTCCTTCTCCACCAGAGAGGTGACGTTCCACGTCCCAAGAGCCAGCTTCTGCAGCCGAGGATCAGACCGCCAGGGTCCCCTCCCTCGGTTGCTGCCAATAACACAGTGCGCCCGACCCCTTTGGCCCCTCTGACAGGTGGTGAGCCCATTGGAAGGAGAACCTTCCAATGGGCTTCTCTTCGGGCTGAGCCCGGCTGGGCTCCGTGGGTAAAAGCCCGGCCACCAGGTCTTGATTTTTATTTCTGTTGTAAATATGCTGAGGACCTTTGAACAAGCTGAGTCTGTTATCAGTTTAGTTTCAGCTGCTTTGGTCCAAAAGTCTCTGATCTGATCTCCTCTGGTTGCAGCTTGTTCTTCGGGAACCTCTACATCTACTGCGCCTGGCACGGCCACGTCCACATCACAGGTAGGAGGCAGCAGCAGGCAGCGCCCAACTCACCCCGACTCACTCTGACTCACCCTGACTCACTCCGACTCATTCCGTGTCTTTTAGACAAAGACCGTCAGACCGTCTTCATTTCTCTCACCGTCATCAGTTTGGTCGGCTGCTTCCTCTTCTTCCTGATCAGGAAACCCGACCCGGACTCTTCCTCTGGTTCTGAAGCGACGGAGTCTCTACTACAGACTGAGTCCGGAGACGGGTCCACAGACAGGTGAGGTTGTCGGTGGACAGTAAAAAGTATTCACCCCCCTGGATGGTTGGCACCAGTTTCCTCTTTGGCATTGAAGACTTTCTGAAGGGAATCCTGGCAGGGGTCAAATACAGCCTGGTTTCCTGCCAGGCTGTATTTGCCCCCCACCAGGCTGATGATGCTTTGGGTTTCGAGGATCTGAGTTTTGTGATTTCTGTCTCTGCAGTTCATCCAGACCAGATCTCTGCACTCAGGCTCTGGACGCTTTTGGTACCAACAACACACTCTTTATCATCCTCCTCTTCTTCCTCTTCCTCCTGACATCTGCTCTTTGTCTCTAGTCCAGGCCTGCAGGATCTCCGTCACCAAGGAGATGCTGCTGCTGAGCGCCTCCATTGGATACACAGGTGGGTTCTGCTGTAGGACCGTTTCTGAGACTTTTAACCGACCCAGTTGGAACCACCTGAAACCAATTGGACTCAATTTAGTTTCAAGGTTCTAAAAGTCTAATAATCCTGCAGCTCAGTGAGTTTCTAGATTAATGATTGGGCCTAAAGAAGTTCTGGTTCTGTTCCCTCTCAGGTCTGGAGCTCACCTTCTACAGTGGCGTGTACGGAACCTGCATCGGCGCCATGACCCGGTTCGGGTCTGATGCTAAGAGTCTGATCGGCATCTCCGGGATCTGCATCGGTCTGGGAGAGATCATAGGTAAGCAGCCAGTCTAGTCCAGTTGGAGTGTCCAGTCCGGTCCAGGCTTTGCAGCGGAGCTGTTTATCCAGCTGTTTCCCTTTCCCTCCAGGAGGGGGCGTCTTTGGGATGCTAAACAAGAAAAACCGGTTTGGGCGGAATCCGGTGGTTCTGCTGGGCCTCATAACGCACTTTGTGGCGTTTTTCCTGATTTTCTTGAACATCGCCAGTGACGCTCCGTTGGCGCCGGAGGGCGGCACGGATCTGGAGGCCTTCATTACTCCCAGGTAGGAACTGCTGCCCCCTGCTAGTCAGAATCATTCTATGCTTCCAGTATCTCGCTACCAGAGGGAGCAAAGTCCGCATCCAAAACATTTTCAAAAAGTTCAGCAAATAACTGGTCTCTGCTGGTCTCTACTGGTCTCTACTGGTTTTTGTTGGTCTCTGCTGGTCTCTATTGGTCTCTGCTGGTCACCTGATCAGCTTAAGAAAATTGTTCATCCACACGAACCACTGAATTACACCATCTTGTTTTGTTTTAAGCATTACAAACCCATAGGGGGCAGTGTAGCTGAAACCTGTCAGCCAATCCCAATCCTTCAAAACAACCTTCCTGTTAAGATTTAAATATTTCATCAGGAGAGGTTGAACTAGTCTTTTTCTTTTTTTAAAGGTTTTGTTGGCTCTAGTTGCCTTTATTTGAAAGTAGCCTGACGGGAAAGAGGGTAATGAGAGACGGGGAAGATATGCGGCAAATGTCGCCAGGCAGGGAATCGAACCTGCGACTAAGGCCTCCATTTGTGGGTCGTGTTTTCCCCCTGCGCCACCACAACACCCCAGGTTGGACTAGTTTTAAACATCAGGTTGGAATGTAAAGTTAACAAAACACAACTGGGAATCCTGTCAAACCAGTATGTGGTTTGACAGGATTCCCAGTTAACCCTGTTAAACCAGGATGTGGTGTCATGTGGAGGTGGAGCAGAGTCGGGCCTCCATCTTGGGGAGGGATGGCTGGTGTAAAACAGCTGACTTCCAAGTGTTTTCTCTCCTTTACAACTCGACATACTGGAACAGTTTGGCTTTTGAAAAAAACCCAGTAAAAAGTTTTGGGACAAACATAAACCTCTGTGTGTTGCAGTGTTGCCGTGGCGATGATCTGCAGCTTCCTGCTGGGCCTTGGCGACAGCTGCTTCAACACGCAGCTGCTTAGCATCATCGGCTTCCTGTTCCGGGACAACAGCGCCCCCGCCTTCGCTGTCTTCAAGTTCATCCAGGTTCTGGTTCCGGCCCGGACCTCCAACTCGCTGGAACCGGACTGCCGCTAACTCTTCTTCTTCTCTCTGCAGTCCATCATGGCCGCCGTGGCCTTCTTCTACAGCAACTTCCTGCTGCTGCACTGGCAGCTCCTCATCCTCGTCGTCTTCGGCTTCCTGGGCTCCGTGTCCTTCTTCGCTGCCGAGTGGCTGGCCGAGTCCAGGAGGAGGGACTCGGACTATGGCAGCATTTGAAGCGTCCAGCAGACGCCCAGATGGACGGACACCAGGAGACGCTGTCATCCCAGATAAACTGGTTCTTTCTTTAAGCTCACCTTGCTGATTGGGGAAGGAAAACCTGGAGTGGATCAGACCTGGAAGCTGCTGCTGTAGATGTCTGGAGACTACAGGTCATCCAGAGGAGACCATGGACGTCCAGGTGGTCCAACCTGTCACTGGATACGTCCCTCACCTGCTTTAAGCAGAACGTGTTGCTGGTTCTGGGTTCTCTGCAGAACCTCTGAGACCAGAACCAGAACATCTCAGTTTAAATGACACTCTAACTGGAGCTAGGTTTATTTAAGGGTGTCGGCATCCATCAGTCCAGATATAAATGCACACCACACTTTTCAGATTACTAAAATATATAAAAAAATCAATCAATAGTTTTGGGAATCTTGGATCATTTTTTGCCCTTCGCATAGTTCTGGTCCCCGAAGCTTGGGTTTGGACTAGGCCAAAATGTGATGAAATGTTGTGTGAATAGTTGTAAGTAATCGGGTCAGAACCTTTGAACTGGAGTTTATTCAGAGTTTGTCCAGTTTAATCCAGTTTAGTTGAATTGATCTCAAAGGGAAATTAGAGTGTAGAAACTCAATTTTATTGTTTTCATGCTAAGTTTTGAGCTCTGCCTTCGACTTCCTCTGGACCAGCACAGGAAGAACCAGTTTAACGGCACCAGAACCAGTTTTCTGCACTGGTTCCAAAACCAGCAGATAATCCAGGTTATCGCGCTCCGGCCTTCATCTGGCTGATTTCATGGTTCGTTTAATCCGAGTCAATAAGGGAAGTAATCAGTGGTGGTGATTTCATATTTATGAAATGTAGTAATTATGGATGATCAATTGTTTTTGTTGCCAATAAAATCATATCTAAAACATCAGCTGCTTATCTGGTTACAGCAGGAACCAAAGGGTTAAAGATGGCCGACGTGAACAAAACCAGCTTCAGTTAGCTGGTTTCTGGATCTCAGCAGAAACGAGTCAGATTTTATTCTGGGTCATAAAACCAAGACAGCAGATTAAGCCGATATTTTCTGGCTGAATTGAGCCTCGATTCAGTTTCACCAAAGCAGTAGCACTTTAGTTACCATGGCGATTTATCCTGTGCTAGCCTGCTCCTGACCAGGCTAACGGGTCAGCTAACAACCAGGCTAACCGCCAGGCTGACAAAAGATACCGTTATCAATTTAAAACTTCTCCATAGAAAACCTGATTGAGTCCAAGAGTGAAATCGAACTGCTGGTCGTTTTGTAAAGGTTCCTGTCAAACCACAGGTGATGTTTCTGTCCTGTTTGTTTTATTGCTTGACATTGTGCAATTAAAATACTTTACCAATATTTTTCATTTTGTTGAATTCCAAAATTCTGTAAGTACATGGATTAGTCTGTCAGCCATTTTGCCTGTGAAAGGAGCAGAATGATGGCGTCACCATTATCCTAACGGCGGCCAGCCGCTTTGACCTCAGGCTGGTTTCCATGGTTACCGCAGCACTGAGCACTGGTGCATATAAATACAAATGGAAAGAACAACCATGCTGGTTCTGGTTCTGTTGGACCTCATTGTTGGCCATGACATATCACTTAGTCAGACTCTCAGCTCCAGTCTGGACTGGAGCCAGTTTGACATGAAGAACTGAGATTCTTTGTTTCAATAGGAAACTTCCCATGGAAGAGGTCAGAGGTCACATGTGGGGTTCCCTGAGGCTCTATCAATATCTATATGTTCCCACTGACTCATGGTTATAACAGGAAATAAGATCAGTGACCATGACAACGCAGATGATACACAGTTCTACATTATGTCACCAGGTGACCTTTGACCCCATCCACTCACTGAACAGATGGTGAGAACAGATAAATGTGGGGATGTGCCAAAACATTTTGAACAGAAACTGAAGTTATTAAAGAGAAATGATCTAGAGTTATAGATCTACACAGCTTCAGCTATTACAGCTGGAAACTAGAGATCTGACTGACCTTTGACCTGAACCTTCAGACAGATATACAACAGAAACGGTTCCTTTTGTGGATTAAAGTATCGTTTCTATGATTTCATTTATTTGACTCGTTATTTATTTACTCATTTATGCCTTAAAATAAGTAATCATCATGCAAGCCTTAAACATCAAGGGGGCGGTGGTGGAGCAGCAAGGATCTCACCTGGACGACCGTCTGCTCCAAACCGGTCAGGAAGGCTCACCAGGCTCTTCTTTCTGAGAACCAGCTGTCCTCAGGGTCCTGGTGAACTTTTACTGCTGCACCACAGAGAGCATCCTGACCAACAGCACCGCAGTCTGGACCGGGAGGCGCTGCAGAGGCTGGTGAAAGCTGCCTGGCGCATCCTGCCATAGAGAACATCTACAGGAAGCGGCGTCTCCACACAGACTCCTCACCCTCCTGCCCTCTGGGAGGCGCTACAGGAGCCTACGGACCAGGACCACCAAGTACCGGAGCGGTTTCCTTCCCACAGCTAGTGTGATCTCACATCAACACGTTAAATCTAAAACCTGCCTTTGAGTAGCAGTAAACAAATCATTGATCAATTTGGTGTGTATTGATTATTTTAACGACAGCACTTGACAAAACGTAATGTCTGTTACATTGGACTGTATGATGTCTTTATGTTTCCAGGATGTAAAGCCCTTTGAACTGCCTTGTTCCTTAAGATTGGTTGATTGATTGATTGATTGATTGTCAGACAAAAATGACCCACTAGAAGTTTAGCTGTAGAAAAAATACCTTAAACAATCTTTTTCCAACTTCAAACTTTATAACAAGTGGCCCCACAGCTGAAAAATAAAAGAAGACACAGTCAGCGTCGTGACTGAGTGGTCAGCCACCAACACCAACTGGCACAGCTCCCACTCAGAGGGTCGTATTTTTCCAGCCCAACCACAAGAAAACTTTACAAATTATATTCATAGTTCTTAGGTTTTCTTACAGTATTTCGTTAATTGTTGAACTAGAAAAATATGACCCTAAGTAAAAGTAGTGAAGAGTTGCTTCACTCGCACCTCCTGGTGGGGGAGCAGTGAGAGCCTGAAGGACCCGTTGCATGCAGTTTCCCATCACACCACTAGGTGGTTCTAAACATACGCATCGATTAAAAATATCACCACAAATGCATATTACTATTATTATTATTTCGGGCAAAATTCAATCATCCTATCAATATACACAAACACACACCTTTCTCTCTGTTACACCTGCAGCCATCCCCTCACATCACACAAACTCCCAAACACAACAAACACAATCTCAGAAAATAAAAACACATTCATAGAGGATATAAAGGCCCTAAATCAAAGTAGATGTTTCACTGTCCAACAGGTCATAAGTTGTACGTTCATACTGTCCTACACAAGATGTTGAACATCTTATTTAATTTTGCAGGATGTTAAACATCAAACCCAAGTTATATTTCGTCACAAGATTTTATTTTTTACAACTTGCAAAACACTCTGAGTTTATTTCCCACTTCAGGACGCGAGGTGACGAGTTTCTAGAAAGATCTCGATTTACTTTATGGTTTTTGGATTTCTGACGTTACATTAACCTCATTTCTGAGGTTATAATTAAATGCAGCGTTGCTACTTTTTGTTGCTTAGCAACGGGTAACGCTGTGTGTGGTGAGATGGTGATTTAATTTCCGGTTAATTTTTACAAAATAAAAGAACTGCTAGAATACTCGGAAAGATCAGGTTTTCCGATCTTATTTGACGCATTTAAAGCATCTTTGATTAACTCAAATCATCAGCAGTTCAACAAAAATATCTGTTACAGTTATCTACAGGATATTTTTAAATTAGACTCACTGTTATGAACTGGCTTTTAGTCCATGTTAATCCAAATAACTATAGTTCCTGTTGACTTTTTGCTTATTTTTAGCACTTTGCTATATTTAACTGTACTAGTTTTATTATTAATATTATAATTAGTTTTTCTCTCTTCTTCTCCTTTTGTAATGTTTTATTCCCACTATGAAAAAACAAGCTTTTAATACTGTTTGAATTTAATTATTTATTCTTACATTCATTTAACTTGCAAAGTTAAATGAAAACGGTTAGAGCAGTTTTAAATGTGCTACGTAAATTACACTGACATTAGTTACGTCAGAGAAGGTGGGAACTGCCTCCTGATAGCCCACTTTAGGATTACTGAACCCTACAGAACCGGACTTCTGGCCATCTGGACCGGTTCTGGAGTCCAGAGTGACATCTTGTTTGCCCATAAAAGGAGTTCACTGATTTAGAGATCTGTAAAAAAATAAGAAAAAACTCTAATAATTTGTTTTCTGTAAAATGTTTAAATAATGCTTTTCTCTAGATGAATAAACTGAAGTACTTAACCGACAATAAGTAAGGCAGAGTTGTTTGTTTTGTTTTTAAAATCATATAATTCCTCAGAAACACTTCGTTGTTTGATATGAAGTTTATTCTGAAAGGTTCGTGACGAGTTTCCGCTGAATGCTGCTAGCTTTGCATGCGGATCTTCTTTTCAGTTTAACGGATCCAGGTTGGATCAAAGTTCCGAGATTCTCCCGCAGACGGAGTCCAGAGCCGCGGGGCTGCTCACTCGCACCAGAACCGGACTAGAACTACTTATACCGATCAGAACCGGCCCGTGTTCCGGTCCCAAAACCCGGGGAGGCTAAGGTCTCCTCGCCGCCGATGCTAGCGTCTCTTTAACCGTCCAGCCGTTAGGTTCCGTTGGTCAAAACATGGAGAAGAACATCAGCCTGTTCGAGCTGCTCAACCTGTCCATCGGTTCCCCTCACAAAAGTTCGGTGAACTTCAGCGCGCTCCACGCGCTGCTGCTGGAGATGCTGAAGCTGCTGGACCTGCGGGAAGCCACGACCTGCTTCAAGTTCAGCCCTCCCGGGGACCGAGTGCTCGACGCCCCGCTGGGTGCTCCGGTGAAGGTTCCGACCCACCCCTCCGTGTCGGACCAGCTGGTTCCGCCTGGTTCCGACCTACAGAAACTGACAGACTCGGTCTCTGTTCTGGACGGAACCGGAGGGGACGACTTCCGAACCTCCGGGGACGGAGTGTCACAGGTGAGGAGAACCCGGCCAGGTAATAATAATATCGATAATGATAATGATAATGACTGTCAAAGTTTTGCAAATAGTTATCTCATAAATAAGTTTGTCTCTCTACTCTAGATGAACCATGTTGTTGTTGGAGAAGCCCTTCACTTCCCTTTCAGTTAACCAGGAGACTCCGCCCCTTTGGCTGCGGTGACGCTGCTCTCTGTGTGGTTCTTTATATGAACAGGTTCAAATAGCCAACAATGATAATACTAATAATTATGTGGATATTAGTAAAAAGTTTACTTTAGTAAAAATAATTTACAGATTCTGGTTGAATAAAAACTGAACAGTTTCACATCAGAGTGAAGAACTACAGCCTGGGCTGCTTTACTGGGTTGGGCTGAACCGGAACCAGAACCGGTCCGCTGCTCAGTGGTGTGAATCCTTTTCCACAGCACTGTAGTTGCCACGGCAACCCAGGATGGCCGTCTAGATGATCCTCTGTGTCACGTCATAATTATTCCCCAGGGAAACGGACAAGGCGTTCCTGGGAGCTCCAGGGGTCAAAGGTCATAATTTCTAATGAAGGTCGATGGTGGAGCTGCTTGGTTCTGCTCCGGTTCTGCTGACCGGACCAGAACCAGAGCCAGTCTGCCCTAAGCCGCTGACAACAAACAGACGGCTCAGGTGATCTCAGAACCCACGGACCGGGTCGGACTAGGCCGGTCCCTCTGGGCGATGAAGCCCATCAGACCCCCACAGAGCCACGAGCAGCGGACCGGTACCAGCTGACCCGCTGGGCCGACAGGGAAACCTCCAGGTTAATGAGTGACAGACCTCTGGAGCTCAGAGCTAACAGACCAGAACCGGGGCGGAGCCCAGACGGACCGGCTGAATGTTAATCATTTTAAATGAGACCCGATTGGACCCGGTCTATCAGAACCATCAGGAAGGTCCAGATTAACCCGGTTCTTTCTGTCCCTGCAGGCCTTGAATCTCATCGAGGAACTGCAGAAGAACAGAGACGATATAAAACAGAAGACGGAGCACCTGCAGTCCAAGGTGTATTCATGTGTTCATTTCAAACACGTTTTGTTAAAACACCGAAAACAAGCATTCACTCATAACTACAACAGATTAATGAGCTTTATGGACAAGTGAAAACTTGTTAATTCAATATAATGAAATGTGAGTCACTGAATTCATCAGAAATGAGTCATTAAAACATTCCTGCGCCTGTTCAAGTCGCTGCTAAAGAACCAACAAATAAACTATATTACATCAAAACAAAATAATTACAACCTGACTCATAGCAGAACAAGCAAATTTACAGTCTGATGACAACAACAACAACAACAACAATAATAATAATAATAATAACAGACTACAGCATCAGTAAGGATCTACTTCTTCACCAGGCTGAGGCGCCGTGGCAGACGGGAGGATTGGCCTGATTGTTTCCCCCAGTTGTTTTTCCAGTATAGCTGGAAAAACAACTATACTGGCTGCTGGTTCAAGTTGAGCTAATCCCTTTGAGGAAGTAGCTCACCTAGTTGGTGGACAGACGGTGAGCTCAAGTCATGGCAGTGGCAGCTGCCACAAGGTGTCGCAGCTTTGGTGGTGATAGCTGCCACAGAATTGGTGGCAGCTGTGTACATACATATTTTTATTTGTTTGAAATAAACTTATGTATATTCATATATAATTTTGCTAGTTTGGCAGTAAGTACTACAGAAAATATCACTGCCCTGTCCTCCTCTTTGGACTTTGTTTCACTTCAGCACTCCACCCAGGACCTGGTTGATGCATCTCTGCAGGTTTTGGCTCTTATGATGAAGGAGCTTGGATGCACACTGTACACTGGTCCACTACAGGCCTTGTATACCAAGGCCTGTAGTGGACCAGGAGAACACTACAGGCCCTTCCTGTTTGGCTCTGAACGCCTTGGATCATGCAGCTTAAGCCTCTCAAACAAGGCAGAAACTAGCAGGGCTTCACAGATCTGATCACCAGCCAGTGGCACTGCTGGTTCCTCACGGAAATCCTTGATCCCATCTACTTCGTTCATTGACTGTCAGGGTCCAGTTCCAGGACAGAGATCAGTCCAGAGACCTGCTCCAAGTCAGGCAGATTAGGCTGGTGTCCAGACTTCACGCCCCTTTCGTGCTGCACAGTCTGGCTGGCATCCCCACAGGTTTTCAAGAGGCCAGGGGGCCTGCAGAGTATGTTTCAGTTGATTATTTTACCCCAGACAGCTTGACAGCTGGGTTGCCCACACTCTGGCCTCGTGTCCACCATGTGCCAGGGGTACCATCTGTAATTCTGATCCTGTCCCTGACCAGGTCAGGATGATGACCATCTGCAACCTGGTGAGGGGACAGGTACTGCACCAGGAAATCTGGTGGCCGAGGGCGCTATAATATCTGTGAATACCCTGATGAATCCAGGGGATTTTATTCTGATTATGTTTTCGTTCTGGTGAAAACCGGGGTCTACCTCCAGTCTTGGACCTCCGAATATATATCTTAAGGTCATACCTTTTCACATACTGATCACCAGGGAAGTTTTGCTTCCATAGACCTTGCAGAAGCTTATTTTCATGTCCCAATTGCTCTGCCTCATTGGCGGTTTCCTTGTTTTGCTTTCCAAGGGAAGCATTTCCAGTTCAGGGTTCTTCCATTTGGATTTCTGGTGTCTCCCAGTGATAATTCACCCGGTGTGTTGCAGTGACCCTCTGCCTGCAGGTACAAGGGTTAAGAAACCTCTCATACCTGAACGACTGGCTCATTTGAGAAGTGACCTGGAACCAAGCGGGCCAGGACACCAAGTTGGCGCTCGATCATGTGGGGAGCCTGGGGCTGCTTTTCACATTTCTTTCTTTTTTTTTAATATTTTTATTAGGAGGGAAGGGGACATTACAAGCAAAATTTTAACTATTAACGACATAGTATGCCATATGGTAAACAACTTTTGTGGCATCGATAGAAAAGAATAAAACACAGGTACAGAAGAGGTAAAAAGTATATAGATGAAAAAAGGCTTACAATTTACCTCCTATGAGTATTTTTATTTTTCTTACACAAGTGAACAAGACACAACATGTACAAACCTACTGAAGAAAAAATAAATTAATTAATGAAAACAGAGGGAAAGAAGGAAAAAATAAATAAATAAATAAAAAGGAAAGGTGTGGGGTGTATCACTCAATCTGGGAGAAGAGACTAAAGAGAGTGAAAGAATGTCATGAAAGGGCCCCATAAGTTATAAAATTTGGCTGAATTGCCTTTCACTGAATATCTAATTCTCTCCAATTTTAGAAAAGACATGGTGTCTTTAAGCCACTGACTGCTAGAAGGTGGTTTAGTTAGTTTCCAATGGAAAAGAAGACGGCGTCTTGCCAGTAAGGAAGTAAATGCTCAAATATCCAATTAATTAGAAGTGAACTGTTTGTAGTTTAACTGGAAGCCCAAATATGGCAACATGGGGAGAGAGTTTAATGACACGGAAAGTATCTTTGATATTGTATCAAAGTAGGTCTGCCAAAACTGTGGAGTGATGAACAGGAATAAAAAACGCGAGTTAAATTACAGGAAGGCGCACGACATTTGTCACAATTGTCAGAAACGGAGGAGAATTACGACAATCGATTTTTAGAGAGATGAACCCTGAAGAGAACTTTAAACTGTATAAGAGAAAGTCGAGCACAGATTGAACTTGAATGAATTTTCTTAAGAGCATTATTCCACCAGTCCTCTCCCAAATTTAGACCCAGTTCGAGCTCCCAAGCCGCCTTAACCTTGGTAATGGGTGAAGAATCAAAAGACAGAATTTCATTGTAAACTTTAGAGATATATGGCCTTTGAAGAGGATCCCAACTCAGAAACATCTCCCAATGCAAGTTTGGCGGCCTGGAAGGGAAACCGGAAAACAGAGCCCTGGCACAGTGTCTAATTAGAGAGTACTGGAATAGATGAGGAGGAGGAAGATGAAATTCTGATGAAAGGTCTGCAAAGCTGCGAAAGATACCTTCTTTGTAAAAATCATTAAAACATGTCAGCCCTTTATTACCCCCTGACAAAAAGGTTGGATCTGTGAGTGCTGGTCGAAACAAGCGATTCTTCATTAAAGGAGCAAGTGTAGATGCTGAGTTAAATTTGAAGTGCCTCCTAAACTGGCACCAAATTTTTAAGACGGAGTGAACGATTGGATTGGTGTAAAGCCAGAGGGGTTGGATGTAACAGGGGAAGTGAGAAGAGCAATTAGTGAGGATTGGGAGCATGATTGTGCCTCCAACTTGCACCATGGGAAGTCCAAGGATCCAAACCAAAATGAAATTTTGTGAATATGGGCTGCCCAATAATACAGCTGGAAGTTTGGGAGTGACAATCCACCACTGCAAATATGAAGTGTGGATTTGTGGATTCTGGGTGATTTTCCACACCATAGGAAGCCAGAAATAACTTGATCCAACATTTAAAAAAATGTTTTGGCAGAAACAGTGGAAGACTATTGAACAAAAATAAGAATTTGGGTAAAACATTCATTTTAATTGCATTGATTCTACCTATAAGTGAGAGAGGTAAACTAATCTTTTTCACATTTCTGTGAGGTAGCCAGATAAACAGTCTGACTCCCTCACAGGAGACAGTCTTCCTGGACATCGCTGACTTCTGTCTCAATGACTGCTTCCACTCGCTGTCCCTCACTTCTCACGTACATCAGGCTCCTCCAGAGATTCAGTGACGTAGCTGCAAAGGGTCAGCATACTTGCATAATCTTAGTTTTATCATAAACAAAATAAGGTGGGTGAGAACCTGTGTCAGAACCGGGATTAGAACCTCCCTGTTTGGACCGCAGTCAAGGCGAGTGTTTGTTCTGCAAACAAACCCTCTGCCCTGGCAGGAAATCCAAGCCGTTCTGCTGAAGTGGACTGGTGTCTGACCCGGTTAGACCCAGTTTTTCAGAACCGTCAGGAAGGACCAGATTGACCTGACAGCTCATGTTCTCCCTGCAGGCCTCGAACATCATTGAAGACCTGCAGAGGAGCAGTGCAAATCTGAGGGAGAAGGCAGAGGAGCTGCAGCACAAGGTGAGTCAGAACCAGAGGACTTTTTTCTTCTCCGTCAGCATTTAAAAAATCGGTCATGTTCTATTTTTACCCGTCAAATTATAATCATATTAACATGGGCTACTTAGTGCATTTTTATGCGGTTTAGTTAATATTCACTTAGTTGAGCCGTGAATGCAGATCCCATCACACATGAACGCATCTAACTTTTTCTCCTGACAAAAACCACTGACTGAGGCCCCAATAACTTATAATTATATTAAACAACTCCACTTAAATTACCAGCCGCACAGCGCCTCACAAATTCCTCCTGGTTCGCATCTACAGAGAAATCTGCACTAGTTCAGTCAGTTGAATCTGTCGGATCCAAACCAATCAATTGAACTTTTTTTACCCTGTGCGCTGTCCGTGCGCTTTTATGAGGATTTTTGTGTGGTTTCACTTCCCCGAAACGGACGGGTGTTACGTCTGC